AACAATGAGAAATGTCTATCAATACAGGATTATTAAATCACGGACCCTGTGTATGATAAAATAAGATGCATCTTTTTTTTTAAAGATTTATTTTTATTTTTATTGGAAAGGCGGATATACAGAGAGGAGAGACAGAGAGGAAGATCTTCCATCCGATGATTCACTCCCCAAGTGAGCGCAATGGCCGATACTATGCCGATCCGAAGCCAGGAGCCTCTTCTGGGTCTCCCGCGTGGGTGCAGGGTCCCAAAGCTTTGGGCTGTCCTCGACTGCTTTCCCATGCCACAGGCAGGGAGCTGGAAGGGAAGCGGAGGTGCCAGGATTAGAACCGGCGCCCATATGGAATCCCGGGCGTGCAAGGCAAGGACCTTAACCACTGCGCCACCGTGCCGGGCCCAAGATGCATCTTTTAAAATATGTACGTGAAGAGAAAGAGAGAACACTGTCGTCTACTGGTTCTCCACAGCCAGGGCTGAAGCAAGGGCCTGGAAACACAGTCTAGGTCTCCCACATGAGTGACAAGAACCCAACTACTCGAGCCATCACTGCTGCCTCCCAGAGTGGGCACTGGTGAAAGCTGGAGTCAGGAGCCACAGCCACCATTGAACCAAGTACTCTGATGCAGAACACAGGCATCCTAACAGCTAGATCACAACCTACTATGAATAGCAAGCATCAGAAATGAGCAAGTTATACTCACATGTGTATGTAACAAGCAGGTGGTTCTAAGAATCATCTCAGTTTGCTAGACCCACTTTTTGAAAAGCATAGATCCTGTGGCCTGAACAACAGAAATGTATTTTTTTGCTGTTGTACAGAAGTCTGAGACCAGAGTATCAGCAGGATTGTTTTCTTGCCCTGGTTTGTAGATGCTCCTCTTCTCCCTGCATCTTCAGGTAACCTGCATCCATTCAGTGTTTATCTGTGCTCTAATTTTTCCATCTTTTGAGGATAGTACATTGGATTGTGGCCCATCCTACTGGCCTCACTTTGTTAGTTTCCTAAAATCTGCAAATACACTGACATTCTGAAGTACTGATGGGTAGGACTTCAGTGTTGGAGTTGTGACATAATGCTGCTCAGCCCATAGCATATTTGGAAATATGCTCAAATCCATCCAGTTATATACCTTACATTTGTTAAATGTGTTGTATGTCAGTTATTCATCAGTAAATACTAAGAGGTCAAGGAAAAGGATATTCATATTCATTTTAAATGGTATAAAATAATAGTAATAAAAGGTGACAGCCTTTTGCAGAAGATGTGAACATATAGCTAATAACTGAAAAAATAGACTTTTGTTTAAAGTTTGTCTTTTTTTTTTTTCACTCAGAGAGACAGAGATCTTCCATCCACTGTTTCATTCCCCAAAGGCTTGCAGTAACCAGAGCTGGGTTAACTGAAAACAAGAACCTCACTCAGATCATCTGGGTTGCAGGGACTCACATGATCGAGCTGTCATCTGTACTGCTATAGCACTGGATATCATCTGCTGCCTGCCACAGGGAGCAATAGCAGGAAGCTGGGTTGGGAACAGAGCAGCCAGGACTCAACCCAGGCACTCTATTTAGGGATACGGTGTCCCAAGTGACAGCCACATTAAAATTGAGTCGAGTATTTTTTAAAATCACAAAAATATGTAATTTCAAAACACCAATAAGACAGTAACATCAAAAGCAGACAGTAACATCAAAAGCTTTGGGCACTTGGGGAATGCGGTAGCCACTCTATGTTGTCATCAGTGAGTGGTCTAGCACACAAACTTTTCCTGAAAGTTCTGCTTCCTAGGATAGGTTTCACCTGTCTTTAGTCAAGGCTACTAGCCATAGCTTTGACTGTCATTTTCTCACACTTATTTTATGGAAATGTTGAGTAAAATTTTTCTATTGCTATTTTTAATTGTTAAAACAAATTATTGTAATAAAACATAGCTATGTCCAAACACAAATGCAGCTTTCAAATGAGTTTTAGGGGCATTTACAGCATTGTGGCATAATGAGTTAGCCTACTACCTCAAAGGCAGCATCCAGTGGTGATGCCATTGCAAGTCCCTGCTGCTCCACTTCCAGCTCCTGCTAATGTACCTATGAGAGCAGTGGAGGATGGGCCAAGTATTTGAGCCCCCGGAACTCACATGAGAGATCTATAAGAAACTCAGCTCCTGGCTGGAACCTGGCCCAGCCCACACCATTGCAACCATTTGAGGAGTGAACCAGTAGATGGAAAATCTCTAGAAAGCTTTGAACAGACAGGAAAAAGTCAGCTGGCCTATAATTGCTCAGCCTGTACCTTACTGGTCAGGCTCCCGATTTGGCTTTTCCTAGACCTCACTAGGTAGGATGCAGAGTTCAGTTATTCCTCACTTGCTAAGTTATTGGGGATTTCTCTGCTCACCTGCCTAAGACTGTTCTACTCCTCAATTGTTAATATATGGCTTGTTAGAATTATAAGTCTGTTTTGATTATCCTAAAATGCATGAAGTTCTGTAAAATTTTGCTTGAATACTATAAACTGCTAAGTTTGAATACAATTTTAAAAAGTGCAATAATTCTAATTATTTCAGAATTGAGAAGTGATACCAGCACTTATGGTACTACCTCCAATTCCATAAAGACATATTTCAAACAGAATCTACCCCTGTTCTATGTCCCTTCCCCTCTTCATTTCCTCTTATACACATCCCTAAGTAACCACATAAATTACTAGGTCTCACTTTCTTGTACAAATTTCTTTAAAAAATCACTTTTTGTGTTTCAATTTTCATAAATATAATCATCATTTACATAAAAAAAGAAAATCTCTTTGTCTTCACCTCTCTCTCTGTCTCTCTCCCACACCTTAATTTATTATACATTTAGTTCATTACCTTTCATTTGGCTTCTTAATTTCATTAAGTCAATTTTTGGTAAATGATAGGCCATAGAAACAAGCTAGATCTTTAATATACTATGAGGTTTTTTTTTTCCTTGTAAGTAACTTAAAGCCCAAACATCTATTAATCATTAGCTTAGAAATTTTTAAGAATATTTTTGGATATCAGGCTTTTGCATAAAAAATTATTCCAGTCTATTTCTGTGGGATAATTTTTGCACTGATACATTCTACTCCACTCTGAAGAACATTTTAAACTTGAAAATATCAATTGAATTTCAGGAAAAAGCTATGGATTTACATTTTCATAAGATGGTCATGTTTAATCAGTGATTTGAGATAACATGTAAAAAATAATTAAATGTATAACATTAAGTCCAAAGTGCATTGTAAAGTCCCTGTTCTTTTTATTATCCATTGGTGACTTGTTTCCAATACAATAGATGACCATAAATAGCGCTAAGTTTGGGCAGCATATTAAGGTGCCATAAACCACTCAATGTCATCCCAGAGTCCCTGATGTGGAGTATGCTCTGAGGGTTCTGCTTAAGTGGTTTCGATAGTTCTGAAATGCTATTGATCTCACAGATCCAAGGATGAGGAAATCCTTCCAAGATCCATTGGCTGACATAATCTACCTTAGAGTCTCCATTCGCCCAGATGTTTGCTCTCAATGCTTAGCTGGGGTAGTTGACCAAAGTGTTCTGTCCTCCTTCCTTTGTTGTAATACTGAATGTCCTCTGCAGGCCCTATTGGACTGCCATTTCTTCCATGGGCACCTGGACATGCCACCCATTGCTCCACTTTAGCCATTGAGGAGGCCCAGTTCTGACAAATGCATGCATGAACAGTCCACAGATCCTGCAATTCTCCTCATGGTTGGAGTTCTGAGTCTAGCAGTTCAATTGGGGGAATCCCCAAAGAAACCTCATCTGAAGTGATCCCAAACCTGACGTTTTTGTGTGCTTGCCAGTATGAGGTCTGCCTCAACCTCAGTCTGTCTCTGTCATCAGCCTATGCACGTGCTGGTAGTTGCAATTACTGGGTCAGTTCTTTCTCCAGCCCCATCTCTTACACAAACCAATGGATGCTGCAGCCCAGCCCAACTCAGCCCACCACACACTGGGCCCTCACGTACACCAGTAGGAACTGCAGCATAGTCAGAGCGACCCATCCAGCTCCCTGCTTGTGGCCTGGGAAAGCAGTCAAGGACAGCCCAGTGCTTTGGGATCCTGCACCCATGTGGGAGACCTGGAGGAAGTTCCTGGCTCCTGGCTCCAGATTGGCACAGCACCGGCCATTGCGCTCACTTGGGGAGTGAATCATTGGACTATCTCTCTTCCTCTCTATATATCTGACTTTGTAATAAAAATAAATAAATCTTTTCAAAAAAGAATGGAATTCTATCATTTGCAACAAAATGTTCACAACTGGAGACCATTATGCTCAGTAAAATAAGCCAATTCCAAAAGGATATATATATATATATGAGAATATATATATTCTATAATATATGTGAGAATATATATAATATGTGTGTATATACACACACACCCACATAGATGAACTATATATTTGAGGCTAGAATAACTGGAGGTGAAGATACCTTACAATATTGCAGCATGCATTTCTACTCCCAATGAAACAGTTAAATATACCTCAGTGTTATGAATAATATGATGCTAGATTTTTTTGCCTTTGTCTATACCTACAACTTCGAGGTGCATGTGGACAACAGAATGTTGAACTTGTAATTGTTGCTGTAGGATTATAGTGCTGTAATAATGGGGGAGAATAGTGGGGTGGAAGATGGGGAAGGAAAGGGGTAATTCCTATGCCTACAAACTATGTCATTGAAAACAATAAAAATAACTTTTAAAAGCTTAAATTTTAATTCAAAATATGCTTCACAAGCTAGACTAATCAGGACTCAATAAAGTTATTATCTAAGAAAAAAACATATGGCCGATGAAGTGCTTATAAGAGCTGTTGGCTGAATGCTAGCTCCCTTCCCGCACATGGTTCCTCTTAGGTGCATTGCCTGCAGCCTGCAGCCATGTGCTAAATGTAGTCTGCCAGGAAACTCTCCCTTGATTACAAGGTGTATGATTGTCAAACTTTATTTCCAGAGAATGATGAGGAACAGGACGTGCTGCCGTCTCTGGATAAACCCGGGTGGTACTCCCAAGGGAATGCTGCCCAACTTTATGAGCTTCTGAAGAAAATGACTGGCAAGCCGGAACCCAAGGTATTTTTCCAATGAATACAGAGTTCTTGATGCCACTTGAAGAAATAATCAGTTGAAAATCGGACCTATAGTTTTAAGGGCATTCAGCTTAGTTACCTATGAAGAAACCATCTGCCTCTGCCTGTTCACCAAATCCCTCCTCTTTCCTCTTGTGCCTAAAGAAACTTTCCTTCATTACTGTGGCCTGGGTCTCTGTGACAGAGCAGAGTCAGGTTCCAAGCATGCAGCTGCAGATCTAGGAAGTATACGCGATTAGTGTGTGCTGTGTGTGAGAATGATACCTCAGTAACAGTCCACAAAAAAAAAAAAAAAACTTTTTGTATATAAAATAACTGAGGTTACACCACAGATATATCTAAAGACAGGCTTGGGTTTGATAACTTGATGACATAGCTAATGTTGGACCTTGGTAATTTTGAGCAGTAGAACCCTGTGTTTCAAGAATGTATTCCAGGAGCCCCATGAGCAGCAGAGATCATCAGGTAACCGAATCCTACACCACTGGCTGCGATCATGCTGGAGCCCTTGGACCCACTGAGGGGTTTAGTAGATGGAACATCCACACATAGAAATTCTAGTTCCTAGCCGTTCACTGCATTTTCCCACCTGTAAATTGAAGGATGGAAGCTAGAGCAGATCTTTCCAGATCCTGCATGCCCAGTCTCGTGCTTAGGGATTCTGTTTCAGTAGATCTGTTCTGGAGCCCAGCAACTGCTTTCGAGAGTAGCTGTACTATACACTTAGATTGTGTGTAACCCACTGTCACAACTTCTGTCTGATGTCTCATCAACTCTTAAGTCCAGGGGACAGGTTTAGTTATAAACACACAGTCTCAGATGGACTGAGTCAAAATATCTATTTCATTTTCTGCCTTTCAGCTATTTAAAAATACATTTCATAATTCCTTAAAGCAAAATGAAACAGGTTGATGTTCACCTGTGGATTTAATTCAAAGATGTGTAAGATGCTTATTCTGATGTCTGATGAAGAACACGCACTGTTGAGGTGTGATTTTCCAGTTTCCATTAAATAATACCACTGCACTGTACAATTCTTACGCTTCAAACAGAATTTGCTATCTGACTTCCAGGTTGTTTACTTTGGTGACAGCATGCACTCAGATGTTTTCCCAGCTCGTCACTATAGCAACTGGGAGACTGTTCTCATCCTGGAGGAGCTCAGAGGACAAGAAGTTGGGAATCCTGAGGAGTCGGAGCCTCTAGAGAAGAAAGGGAAATTTGAAGTAAGTCTTCCCAGCAGTGCTTTCTTTGAAAGAAAAAAACTTTTAGATTATCCTGGTCCAATTACATGTCCTCACGTATTCTAACATGAACATGGTGCCAGGTAACTTAAGATTTAAGCATAATTAAAACAAGCCTAGTTAAGGAGACTAATCCCTTTATTAATGTTTTCATCTATTTCTTCATTACAACTAAAAGCAAGATTCTGCAAACATCTTTTATTTCTGTTTGAAAGGCAGATTTACAAAGAAAAGGAGAGACAAAGACATGCTGATTCATTCCCCAAGTTGCCAGTGGCTGTGACTGAGTCAACCTGAAACCAGGTGCCAGGAGTTTTCTCTGGGTCTCCCACATTGGTGCAAGGGCCGACGGACTTGAGCCATCCTCTGCTGCTTTCCTAGTCCATAAGCAGGGAGCTGGACCAGAAGTGAAGCAGCCAGGACTCAAACTGGCATCCATTGGGATGATGAAAGCCATCCCCAGATTTTGCAAGCTTTCTCAAATAACATGTTATGGAGCCTGGTGTGATGGCTAATAGCTAAATTCTCACCTTGCAAGCAAGCGCTGGGATCCCATATGGGTGCTAATTCAAAATATGATAATAAGTCATTTACAAAAATAATAAAAAGTAATATCTAAGAATCAACAAATACATAAGGCCTTGATGGAGGTCTCATGTTCTAGGTACACTGGAAATAGCAAATATTTTTGTCCTCTTTCCCTTCTGTAAAAATCAAATGCAAAATTAGATATCGTTTAGATGCTATAATAATTAAGCTTGTTATTTTGATTATAGGAAAATGTTTCTATATTGTTCTTTTTGGCACACTTTTGATATTACAACCAATTGACTATTTTAAAAATCAGTTTCAATTTAACATAAAGAGTGCTGCTCAGTAAGAAAATATTTTTCATTTCCAAGAAGACAGGGTATTCCAAAAACCGTTTTGTAGATTCCTAGAGGACTTTTCTATTGATTGACGTAATGGATGAAAAAATACTTACCAGATTGAACATTCATTGATTACAGTTTTTACTATTCTGGTTTTTTGTTTGTTTCAGGAACCAAAGGCAAAACCTTTAAATACTTTGTCGAAAAAATGGGGCTCTTTTTTTATTGATTCCATTTCGGGACTGGAAAATACAGAAGACTCCTCGGTTTATACGTGGTCTTCTAGGAGAATACATACCTACAGCACTATTGCAATTCCTAGTATTGAAGCAATTGCAGGTAAGAAGGGCAATACTAATGAAGTTTAAATACTAGAAGTCTTGTCTTGAAAAGACAGTTATCTCCCTATGATATGATTTCTTCTACAGAAACACCTTCTAGGTGTGACAATCTAAGTAATTAGGATGACACTTCCATTGGAGCCAAGTACAAATGCTGGACAGCTTTCTTTCTTCTTTGTTTCTCTTTCGTTCCTCCCTCCCTCCCTCCTTCCCTTCCTCCTTTCTTTCTTTCTTTTCTCCCTTCCTTCTTTTTTGATTTTAAGTCTGCCTGGGAATATAATATAAAGGAGGTAAGGAAGAGTTCCCAGTAAAGAATGCGAAGCAAGTCCAATAATGTGACCCTTGCTTGTGGAGCTGCTTTCTCACTAGAGGGTAGGTGGGCCTTCCACTAACAACCAGTCTGCAGGGGTGAGAAGTGTAGGCCGGGGCCTGCCTGAGGAGAGGGACCTGAGGCACCCTCTCATCCTCTGTTGAGACTAGTAGGATTTCCCTCAGAATAAAGATGAACTAGGAAATGATTTCACAGGACTGAAACTCAGTGTCAGATCCCCTGAAACTCTGTAGTTGGATTGAGGAGATTCCACATTGCTAGTGGCCTTATAAAAGCAAAAGAAAGGCTGGTTTTAAAAGGATGATGGACTGAGACCTGACTTCTTGCAGAATCAATGCAGGTGAAAAGACCATGGACTGTTGTTTTCAAAGGGCATGAAGAAACAGCTGCCAATCTTGATGAAGTTTTTGTCTACCCATTAAAGCAAAGTTGGGGAAGCTTGTTTCTGCCAAGTGCAATTTTGATATTTATAACATCATTGTCAAGACATACAAAATTACCGGAAAAAGAAATTTGCCTGCTATAGATTTATTAAATTGCAGGGGCCACATTTTTTGCCATGGCAGGGCCAGACCAAGTTATTTTGTGGGCATTATATGGATCATGAACCAGATGTTCCCCACCCTGCATTAAAGATATCATTAAAGAATAAAAGTAAAATATTCTTAGATACAGAAAAATGGGGAAGAAAAGATTCGAGAATATCTCCAGAAATCTTTCACTACAGGAAATACTAAAGTGTATTGTTCCTAGGTGAAAGATAAATTGCTCCTTGTCAGAAAATTGAAGAATCATAAATGATTACATAGCAACAAAAATATGTAAATAAAATAAAATGACTATTTCCCAGTGAAATAATGAAAAACTGAGTCCTGTAGAGTTTCAATAGAGAGTTAAAATACATGACAACAATGGCATTATAAATGCCACAAAGAGCAGATGAAATAAAGATGTTCTAACATCCTTGAATTCACGCAGTAAAAGGTAAGAGTATATTAGGTATGGATAAGTCAGAAATGCATGTTAAAATCAGAAAACCATCAAAATAATTATAATTATGCATATCAAACTAATATGTAAAATAATGTAAGAATCAAAAAAATAAGGGTAGAAAAAGAATATTGGGAATAAGCAGGATAAATGGATAGAGCTAGTGAGATGATAGATTTAAACCTGCAGTAAATATAGATGACCAAATGCTTCAGTGAAAAACCTGGATAAAATACCCAATGAAAGACTGAGTGTGAGGTGCATGTCTGAAACATAAGGACTCGGCTTAAATTCAGTGTAAATGTCAAAAGATTGAAGGAGATAATACCATGCTAACAGTGACGATATTAATATGATGCCAAGTAAATATTAAGAGGAAAACACTTCAGTAACATGAGAATCACTTTATAATGATCAAGGTTCAGTTCCCAGAAATCCAGGATACTTACAAGGCCCCCTCTCCTTTCCTTGTTTTCACATTGCAGAGAAGCCCCTAAAATGCCCATCCTGCCGTGCAGAATTGTATGCTTTCTGCTTGAATTCTTTGTTTACAAATTCCCTTCAGAACTTGACTGAGGGCTTAAAGAGAAAAGTAGCAGAGTTACTGCCCCTTGCTCCTAGCCACTCAGTTTTTCTCTCTGGAGCCCATCAAGTCTGCCAGAAACGCTTCACTGGCATTTCTGCTGCCAGTAGCCTTCCTGGCAACAGCCACAGTTCAAGTGCCCGGAAGGGAAAGGCTGTGGCTGACTGCAGGCTCACCGACCTTCTGGTTACTGCTTCCCAGAACTGTGTCCCCAACCATCATAGCTGCCTTCTCAGCCAATACTGTTTCACTAGTCCGATGTTTGTATTTCATCCAGTTTTTCTAATTGTTTTAGAAATGGAGATCTAGTTACATTTTTGAACTGCAGACTCTCTTACGTTAGCTTAAAGGTGGTTATACCAGACTACATTCCCTGCCTCTTAAAATGGCTATGACAGAAAGCAAAGCAAAATAGGATTATTCACCTGTAACAGTGGTAGCATGATGACAAGGACTGCCCTAAGACACATAAGACCTTCAACAGATCTGTCCTCTATGGCAAGATATAATCCAGTGTCAAAACATGTATAACCTTTTAAAAGAGTACTGCTTTTGAAAGAGTGGGTTATTGTTTTTGTTTTGTCACACACACACACACACACACACACACATATATATACATATATATATTAAAGATAGTTTAGATACAGTTCTCCCTTTTCCAGGTAATTGCTCTGCTTTAAAAAAAAAAAAAAAATGGGTGTTGGAACTTTAAGAAAGAAGCCAGCCCAGAATTAAACTATCATTTTCAATGTTTATAGTTCATTTTTTTCTTTCAAAGTGACTCAGTTTTTCTGATAGAATGTGAAAATGGAAGCCAGATTATTCCAAAGTGCCTTTGTGAAAAGGTCCAAAAGGATTTGGTTGTGAAATAGTAAGAAAAATAGTGAAGTTTCAAAGAGTGAAACTCTCTTATCTTAGAATTTAAAACCCTGGCAAAGAATTAGGGTATGACCATCTCTCTTGAAACAACCATAACCTCAGTGTGCCTCCTGTATGTATATTCCAGAAGCTAGGAAAGAGAACCCTTACCTTTGGCTCAGCTTTTCTCAGGACAAAAATGCTAACTAAGACTTGCCAGTACAAAACAGAGCTAAACAAGTGCCCATTTTCTGGTGTGGAAAGGATTATACCATTTGTGCTTTTGACATTTGAAACCTCAGAAAACAAAATTTTGGTGTCTAAGCTACCTACATTGCTGTGAGATCATCATCTATTCTAAGGAAGTTATATGTCACGCAGAACTTGAGATTGATTGTTACAGTAACTAGCTCAATATAGTCAGATACTACTGTGTAATTTACGTCTAAGTAAGAAAGAAGGAGTAATGACAACGTTAGATGTCTTGAAGATAGAATCTTTATATAGATATTATCTTGCAAATCTTTTTAATTGCCCAGAGTTGTTCTGTTTGTCTATATGATATTATTTTACATTGATCTTAATTGTGTAAGAATATTCACTTTCATTTTCATTCACTTCATTTAATTGTTTCCCAGTTTAGATAATATGGTTGACATTGTACAGACTTTAACAAAACACTTTTTCAAATTTTGTATTCTATTTTTTCAAATAGTTTACATAGTTAAGAGGGGTATATGACCATAGGGGCCTCTGATTATGAGAGGATCAGGTATAGAGGAAGGTAGATGGGACATATGTTTCAGTTCTTTTCGCTATCCCTGTGTCTGCAAGGGGAAATGGAAGGGGTTACCCTTGCTGTAAAACTGCATAGCACCCAGGGACAGGAACAGTCATTTGATGACACCTTGGAGACCTTAACATGGGGAAGAGTGTTCCAAGAGTGTTACTTGAATTGTTCTGATAGTTCTGAAGCATCATTGACTTCATTGCACCAGAGTTGAAAAAATATTTCCAATGTACATTGGATGAACAAGTCCACTCTTAGTGCATCCACAGACCTAGGGACACGCTGCAAAGCTTGGCTAATAGAATGGTCTGACCTGGGCTTGCTTCGGCAGCACATGTACCGAAAGAAGTGGTCCAGCCTGTTCTACTTTCCATCCTCTGATGAGGCCCTTTGCGTCGTCTGCTAGCCTGGATGATCTGGCTAGCATGTGTTCTGTGTGCATCTGGACATGCTGCCCACTGCACAGGCATCAGCAACTGAGCAGGCCAAGTCCTAATACATGCATTCCAAGTCAAACCACATATATTGTTATTTTCCCTGTGTCCACGGTTTGAGTGCAGCCATCTCGTTGTGGAGATCCCCAAGAAACCTTACCTGGGGTAACCTCAGACTTGACTCTTGCATGGGTCAGCCAGTGCGGGGTCAGGTTCAGTCCGTCAACTGCACCAGCAACACAAATACCAGTGGATGCAGCTACCTGATCAGTACTGCCCGCAGCCCCATTTCTCATGCAGACCGACCAGTACTGCAGCCTAGTGCAGTCCAGCCCACCACAAGTCCAGTCTTCACACACACCAGCAAGTGCTGCAGCTTAGTGGGGGTGACCCCCAGAAACTTCCACTAGGCTTAGCCCAGCCCTAGTTTTGGGGTGTGCTGGTATGTACTGTAGCCTAGCCTTTTCTGTCCTACATCTCATCTGGCTCTCATGCACAGTTATAGGTGCTGCAGCTTGACTTAGTACTCTGCCCCTAGTATTGGTCTACACGTTTGCCAACAGGTGCTGCCTTGACCAACCTGGCCTGTCCCCAGCCCTAGCTCTCATGCTCACCAGTGGGAGATGCAACCCAGCAGAGGAGTGCCCACAGTTCCCCTACCAGGCTGCTCCCTACTTCAGATCTTACACCTGCCAGAGGACACTGTGATCCAGCCTGATATGATTTGCACTCCACTCCAGTACTTGCCAGCAGATGTTACAGCCTGTCCCAGCTAGCCCACACGACTGCTGGCTTTCTCATACCAGTGGGTACAGCAGCCTAGCCCAGCCTGGCCCACCTCAGACCTGACCCATGTGCTGCTGCCAGATGTTGTAGCCCTGCCACAACTAGCGCACCCCCAGTCCCAGCTCTCATGCTCACCAGTGGAAGCAGCAGCCCAGCAGGGAAGTCCCCAAAGTCCCTCTAAAAGACCCACTCCTGCACTCCCCCTGATATTGTGCATGACAACGAGTTCTGTGGCCCAGTCTGAAATCTCCTGCTCCCAGTTTTGGCATTCACCAATAGGTGCTACAGCCTGGCTCAGCCTGGACCACCCCTAAATCCCAATTCTCACTTATGGATACAGCAGACTAATCCAGCCCAGCCAGCCCCCAGCCTTCCCATGAACTGGCAGATGGTGTGGTCCAACACAGCCTTGCCTGTACCCCATCCTGGGTCCCACTTGTTTCAGTGTATACTGTGGATTGGCTCAGCCCAGCCTATATATATGCCAACAAACGCTGTGGCCTAGCCTGGCCCCCAGACCTGGCTCTCACATTCACCAACAGGAGCTTCAGCCTAGCAGGAGCGTTCCCCAAATTCCATATTAGGCCCAGTCCTAGCAATGGATCTTGCATGTGCCTTCCGGGTGCTGCAGCCCAACCTGACATGTCCAGACCCTAGTCCTGACACTCACCAGTGGGTTCTCCAGCCTATTCTGACTCACTGCATCTCTTACTGGTGGGTACTCCAGCCTAGCTCAGCCTGTCCCACATCCATTCTGGCTCTCATGAGCACCAGCAGGTGCTGAAGCCTAGCCCAGTCTGTCCTACCCTCAGACTCAGCCCACCTGCATGCCAACAAGTGCTGCAGCCTTGTCCAGCCCAGTCCACCTGTAGCTCTGACTCTCACACTCATCAGTGGGAACTGCAACCTAGCAACAGAATCCCCAAAGTTCCCCTATCAGGCCTGTTCCCAGCCCTGGGTCTTGCCATGTGCTGGCTGGTGTTGTAGCTTAGGCCAGCCAGGTATGGCCCATACCCTGCCCTGGCTTTCCTGCATGCCAGCAGGTGCTGCAGCCTTTCCTGGCCTGCCCTACCCCAGACCCAGTTATTGTGCTCCCCAATGGGAGTTGTGACCTAGCAGGAGAATTCCCCAAGTTCCCATCCCAGCCCCAGATCCTGCATCCCAGTGGGTGCCCCAGCCCTGTCTGGTGTTGTCTGCCCTCAGACCCAATGTTTGCAAATGCCAGTGCATGCTGCAGGCTGGCCCCACCTGTCTTCCTCCTAGCTCTGGTTCCCAAGAGTGTCATATGAGTTCTCAGGTATAGTCTGGCTTAGCACATCATTACGCCCAGCTCTCGGGCAAACCCAAAGGTGTTGCAGTCACACAGAGGCAAGCCCACAAGTCCCCTACTGAATTTGCCCCCAGATCAAGTTGTCTCACATTCTGGTGAATGTTGCAGCCCAGTATGACATGGCCCACCCTCAGCTGCAACACTTTCAGGAAGATACTAAAGCCTAGTCCAACGAGGCATGCCCGATCCCCAGCTTTTGTGTGTGCCATTGGGTGTCAGGCCAGTGCTGCTTAGTCCAGCCCAGGAGTCCTAGTTCTAGGGTGGGCTTTTGGCATTGCGATTAAGTCATTCTTGGGGTATCCAAATGCCACATTAGAGAACAGCCTTGGTTCTGTTCCAGTTTCCAGCTTCCTGCTGATATGCACACATTGGAGAAGAGGTGATGGGCCAAGTGCTTGGGTCACTCCCAACTATTGTGGGCATTTAAGGAGTTAGTAACTTAGAAGATGGGAATTAAACTCCCCAGTCAGCACTCTGGAAATGATTTGCATGTCTCTGCATGTGATCTGATTTACATATTATTATAAATTTTGCACTGAAGGGCAGTTGCACTCTACATTGTAGGTGCCATCCACCTAGCTGGGAATAGAAATATTAAAATTATGAAACTATTAGACTTCTTCTTAGCAGTGAATATCAATTTTTAAAAGACTTTGTTAGAGAAAAATGGAAAGAGATCTTCCATCAGCTAGTTCACTCCCCAAACAGCCACAATGGCTGGGCTGTGCTGGGTTGAAGCCAGGAGCCCAGAGTTTCTTCAGGTCTCCCATGAAAGTGGCAAGGAATCAAGCACTTGGGCCATCTTTTGTTGCCTTCCCAGGTGCATTAGCCACAGAGCTGGGTTAAAGTAGACCAGCCAAGTTTGGAGGGAATGGCTTAACCCACCGTGCCACAATGCCAGTGTCTCAGTGTTTTATTTGTCCATTTACATTTATGAAAAGTATGTGGAGACCTGCGGGCTAATCAGATTTTTTTCCCCTCCAGAGTTACCCTTGGACTACAAATTTACGAGATTCTCTTCTAGCAATTCAAAAACAGCTGGCTATTATCCATTGGTTCATTAGACCATTGGTAGTAGATCAGTAGTCTTATCAAATGATGAAACACTGACAGCTAAGTATTGTTACTTAAAGGCCCACATATGCAGCAAGAACACTGTAAAAAAAGAAGAAGAAGAAGAAGAATTTTCAGGAAACACTATAAATGCTTTGTAACAAATTTTTAATGAAAACTGACCAAGAAATTGATACATGTTTGTAGGTCTCCTTTTTATATAAATCAGTTTGATGTTTAATAGCTGTAACTTAAAGTCTCATCATCCTACAACTAAAAAAGAACTTTAGTGATATTTTTATACCAATAGCTTTGAGATCAGAATTCACCTTGGGGATGATACATAGATTTACACATATGTCTAGTCTGGTGGATTTGGGAGTGTGGTCCACAGAACAATAGCAAAGTGTAACTAGCACAGGGGACCTGAGAACTTCATCATGAATATCTGTGGGCCCCATTCCAGAACTACTGAATTAGAAACTCTGGAACTGCTGCCCCGCAATGTGTGTTTTCAGAAGCCATCCAGGTGATTCTAATTCAGTGTCCAATTTGAGAACCAGTGTCCTTCATTGGTCTTAGTAGATAGTAGCTGAATATTGATGTACATCTTTTCAATGTCCCAGGAAAGAGCAGCCATAGTTGAGAACAGCTGATCTATATTGGTTCCTTCAGTTTATATCCGCTGAGTCCAATGAGCTGATTTATTTCTCCCAGCTATTAGGTTTTATGTTGTTCCTGTGTTTTCCAAAACAAGGAACTAGAGACATGATCTCTGAGATGATAGTATGGCACAGACATGGTACTGAAGCCATTATCTTAGCCTATTCTCATCTCTTAGATTCCTGCTCCCCCATAATGCTAAAGATTATTTAATCAATTCTTAATAACTTCATGGCATGTATGCTCAAATGAGGCAAAAATTGGCTGTTGATATGAAAAGCAATATTAAATAATACATTGTATTGTAACCTTCTAAAAGTGAACCCATGCTCTACAATTTTATTCTGTATCAGTTTTTAATCTTTGGGAGGAACTCTAATATTAAAAGTTTATGGTTGGGCTAAATTTTTCTACAGAGGATGATAATGAATAAACTGGTTGATAAAAATTACTATAAGAAGATTTAGAGATATACTGTAATCCAGAATTGTTGTGTTCTATCTGCTGTGTATAGACACTAGTAGATATTTGGAGCCAGATAGTATTTAAAATGATCATTTATATCCCAAACATACTTGTGGGGATGAGTTTCTCAGGGTAGGGCAAAAGAGAATTTTTTCATCCAAGTAGCTTTGTTTTGTATCTATCTGTAGATATATGGTGATATATTTGGCATTGATCTACTGTCATTGTAATATTATAATTAGCATACATCATCAGACTTTGAGCTTAGTAAAAGATGTCATTTTCCTGTGTCTTTTAAATAGACACTTGATTTTGTTTCAAAATAGTTATTTTTCTTATTTATTTATGTTTATTGCTTCAATGGCAAAGTATTCTTTCAGTGTTTATCAACTACTCTGAATATGAAATATGAGAGTCCCAAATAAGTGTAGCCATTGAGGAGTAGACATTTTTTTTTTTAAACTCGGGTCAGAAGTTCTACTTTTGTCAGTACCTGCCTGAAGACTTGAAAAAGCTACCATTTAATTTGGCCACTTTTTTCCATGATGTAAAAAAGAAAAAAGCTAGAGTTTATTTCTAAGTTTCCTTGCAACTTTCTGACATATCTCTGCTTCTTCTAATGAATGTTGTTTTTAGAAACTAACTGGATTAACTTGGGGGAGTGGGAAGGGAGATCCCAGCGCCAACTAAACTGTATCAAAAAACAATAAAAAAATTTTTTAAAACTAACTGCGTTTGTATTTTTTTATTTTGTTTTTTATTCTAAAACATGACTTTGTTTCTAATTGTATATGAAGAGTAAAAATAATCTTCAAAAAGTGACACTACAAAAAGAATTTTTATAATATATGAAGAAAAGTTATGTAACTGGGCAGAAAACTTAGTATTAACACACAGACAAATATTCAACATCTAAAAGATACCTTAATAAATGGTAAAGAGCTGAGATTTCTCTTTTTGGCCACTCTTGATCACACAGAGGGAAGACCTGAATGACCAATTACTTTGGCAGAGTTTGCTGTTTAGAATATTGAAGTAGCTGAAACTTTCACTGTACCATGAACTGCAATTTAAATTCAAGTACTTCTGAATGTCAGTCAATAAATTGAAATGTACTATTTACCCACTAACACTTATATCCAACAATTATATGTGTGCATGTGTGTGTGTGTATATATATATATATGAATGACATATCACCACACATGTACTTTTAGTGAATTATTTTGAATAACAACCCAACCTAAAATAAAATATCAAACTAACTCTCTGGGTATAATAAACTTGACTACATGTTAGAATCCCATGGATGGCTCTCTATAAATGATGCTGTAGTAACATTACCTTATCTTTGGTTAAACTCTCGAGCACAGATTATCAGTGCAAAATGTTTTATACACTTGACTACTGTTACCAAAGCCATGAAAGCATGCCAAAAAACATCCAATATGGTCCAGCTGCTGTCCTGGGCATGGTTTGGTTCATACTGAATTAATTCAGAAACATTTCTCTTGGTTTCTGGAACTATCCTCAGAAATATTAACATAGAAGTAATGAATGCTGACTCTTCACCATAGGTACTATATATACATTATTGTGTTTACTCCCTATAGTTACCATGTAAGTTTTACAGATGAGGAAACTGAAATTCAGAGGTTAAATATTTGCTCAGAGCCACGTGGTTACCAAGGGATAGTCTTCATGTAAGCTCAACTTGGAATTGTGTTTTTAGGATGTGTTTAATTATTTGAAATAGAGATATTCCATCGATTAGTTCACTCCCCAAATGTCCACAATTGCTTTGGCTAGGCCAGGCTGAAACCAGGAGGCAAGCATTCCATCCACATCTCTCAGCCAGGCAGCTGAAGCCCAAGTACTTGAGCCAGCATCCACTGTTTTCCTGGGTGCATTAGCAGGGAGTTGGATTTGAAGTGGAGCAGCCAGGATTCCAAACTGCACTCTAATGTGGGATGCTTGAATCACAAATGGTGGTCTATCTCACCGTGTGAGCCAACCCTGACTTGTACTACTAGTTGACAGACATGTAAGATCTACACTGGATCTATACTCACCAAAATCTGAGTCTACAACCACACTTTGACAGTCGTAACATGCCTAGGACATATCAGATTAAAAATAAAAACGTATTTGTGTCCTAAAGTAATGTATGATTTAGCCCAATATTAAAACAAGTATTATAATAGCTGAGAGAGTGAAATAAAGATCCAAGAATCACATTAGCCCTAAAATGTGCAGTGAGTTCTTGGACGTTAGCCAATAGGCAGGCTTACTATTTGTGTTCAGGTTCAGATGTTCACCTTGAGAAGTTACTAGTTTCCTTTGCAGGTGCTGAGGTAACCAAAATGGAAAAGCACTGAAACTCCATCTGTAGAAAAATTAGGGCCTTACTTAGAATGTCAAGAGCGGCAGTGCATAGGCATCTTGATAATCCAGGAGTTTTGGGGTTCATTTGTTTTTAATCTACTTATCTGAAAGGCAGAGTTACAGAGAAACTGAGGCAAACATCTTCTATCTCCTGGGTCACTCACATGACCTCAGTGTCCAGAGCTGAGCCAATCAGAAGCCAGTAGCCTTCTCTAGGTCTCTCACGTTGGTGCAGCTGCAGCATCCAATCATTCTCCAATCCAAATCATTCTCCTCTGATTTCCCAGGCCACAAGCAGGGGATCTGGATCGGAAGTCAAGCAGCTGGGACTCAAACCAGCATCCCCACCTGGCACCACAGGCAGAAGGTTGGCCTACTATGCTACAGTGCCAGCCCTGGAAATCAAGTTCTTATCCATTCACCTGTTTGGAACTCTTTTTCAAAGTGTTTTGTTTTGTTTTGTTTACTTTCTTGATAACATAGCTTTTATGCATTCTTGGTAAAAGCCAAAATTTAATAAAGCAATAAATTAGTCTACTAAAAGCAATTCTTTATTCTTTAAATTTGGTAGAAATGTCTAATTCCCTATAGTTCTTATGATTAAGCTGAATGCACAGAAATGGAAAATAAAATCATCAAAGCCATTATTATGTGAGGAAAAGGGAAATTCTAAAATGTGGTTACTCAACAGGGCTGTATGGCCTCAGCAGACAAAAACAATATTTCTTTGGTGACCAGAGAATGAGAAGCTTTTAACTGATTGGGGGGTTTTCATATAAAATTATTAGAATCAAGAGCTGACAAGAGTTGCCAAGTCTTTCCCTAGTGTTTGAGAGAGCCCTTATCTCATTCCAGAGGATAACAGTTTGATATGGGTCCTGGCTTTGCTAATGCAGACCGTAGGAGGCAGCAGGTCATGGCTGAGATGGTTGGGTCTCTCCTATCCAAGTGGGAAACCTGAGTTGAGTGCTTACACTCCTGGTACCAACCAGTTGCAAACATTGTCAGCAGTGAACCAGTTGAATGACTCACGTTTTGCCTCTCAAATAGAAAAATGTTTAAAAACTGACATGATAGGCCCGGTGTGGTGGCCTAGCAGCTAAGGTCCTCACAATGCACTTGCCAGGATTCCATATGGGCACCAATCTAGTCCCTCTGGCCCCACTTCCCATCCATCTCCCTGCCTGTGGCCTGGGAAAGCAGTCAAGGACAGCCCAAAGCCTTGGGACCCTAATTCGCATGGGATACCCAGTTAGAGTCTCCAGGTTCCTGACTTCAGATCAACACAGGTCCAGCTGTTGCAGCCACTTGGGGAGTGAATCATCAGATGGAATATCTTTCTCTCTTGCTCTCCTCCTCTCTGTGTATATAACTTTCTAATAAAAAATGAATCTTTTAAAAAACCGACATGACAAGCAGAAAAGTGCAACAAGATTTAGAATGAACTGCTTGGTAAGTGAAACCCATGTGGTATCTAATTTAACGACTAGTTTTATTAGACTAAACAACAGGAATGATGCCAGCTTGTAACAAGTAGCACCAACCTATTAGACTAAATTAACCGAGGGACAGGGAAATAACAGAAAAAAGATGAAGCTTTAAGCAGGTGACTGAGAGTCAGTCACTGCAGTGAAAATATAAACGCTGTAGCAGGAATTTAGGATTAAGCTAGGTATATAGTTTGTAAAATGAAACCTAGCTCTTTAAATGAACTGTTCAGGGTTAGACACAGTTATACCTCAGCAAGAATCTGCAAGTGAGAATTGTACCAAAAGAGACAACAAGTATGTTTAACTGTGCTTATATACTTTTAAGTTTCTGAAAATAGAAATTTTGCCCATTTATGTCAAATGTTTACTTGGCCTGGTAAAAACATTTGATTATTCCTTTCAAAAACACATTGCAGCCCTTGCTAATACAGACAACGCCAAAGTGCTCCTCCCCTAGTCTGAAGTGACCACTGCTGGGCAGAGGTATCCTTAGTAGAAACTGAAGTTGTGACAGCTCATGTCATCTGTTCATAGATTTTCATATTTCAGGCATACTTTTTTTTTTCCTTTAAAAGCATGTAGTTGCAGGGAAAGGATTGAAGTGCACTCATAGACAGAATACAGAATGATTAATTTTCTAAAAGTCTGTTAAGCTCATAAGAAGACCATGATAAGGATGGCACATAGAAGTTTTTTCCTAAAAACTGTATTTTGTTAGAAAATCAATATATAGTGCTTCAGTTACCACCAAAACCTATGTTTATAGGAAATATTTATCAGCATATACTTGAGGTTGAATTTCCTATTTACCATGTCTTAAGCAAAAAATTATGTGTTAGCTGTGTGCTTATTTTTTTCCTTGTCAAACTGTCAGGACAATAGTTACTGAGACCATTTGATAATTTCAGTGATGTTCCAATTTTTATATTAAACTAGACAACACAGAACTTTTGCATTTATCTTTATTTTTGGTGAAAAGAAGTACAGTAGTGACATTTTTCCTTCAAGCACATAGAAGACAAAATACTAATTATCCTTGTTGAGAGTAATTCTACTAGTATTTAAACTGGTTAGGAAACATACAAGTACATTATAACTAGGGCAAGAAATGTCAAGTGAGACACAAAGTTGTATTTTTCAGTTTAAGACCACTTTCACAAGACTTAGCAACAATTGAAAAATTTTTGACTCTTCAAAGATCACAATATTCAAGTTTTATTTCTAAGACCAAAGTTATATATGAACAGAGACCAGAACAAGCTAATCTACAGAATATTCAAGAAGTCTTCAAACTTCACAGGACACGAAACGTATTTTTGTACATGTTCTCAATTACAAGAGAAGTAGACATGTAAACATCAAATCTGTCATTAAGCTGTAATGGAGAAAGGAACAATTTTATGCAAAATGAATTAAGGAGCATATAGCGTTAATCCTCCACATATACAAAGGTCACTCCTAGAACAGTAGAGAGAAGAATCTAGATACATTCGCAAATCTGAAGAGTTAGGAAACACTGGAGAAAAATCTTCCTGTAAACATCTCATTTAAACCCCAAGCCTTGATTCTCTTATCTGTATCCTAACGGACCTCCCCTCCTCCCTCTGATCCTACGTTTGCTTTTTCAACTGGCCTTTGCAAGCCCACTCCACAAAGGGATTTCTACTTCTGGGTCTTTACTTAGTTTCCCCCATCTAAGGCATCCTTTCCACTGCTTGTGACTTTTGTCTTATAAACCTTCAAAGACTCAGAGCAAAGCCTCGAAAAAGGAAAGGAAAAGGACAATGGGTGGCCATCAGCAACACCTTAAGCTCACCTAACACAGCCCTAACACCACCACTGCCCCACTCATTGGAACTTACCCTGGAAATTGACAGATGTCATAGGACATCTCAGCCAAAGGCAGCCCTTTCTTTGTTAAAGCAAAAGCTGAGAGGAAATGCAGAACTGGAAACTGAGGACCAAGGCAACCAGGCAGTTGAGGCCCATGGGACAACAGAGCAGTAGTAAAACAGTACAGAGAACAGGGTGACCTACAAGATCCAACTCTGGGACCATTTCTGAGAAGTCCAAGGACCAAGAAAGAATCATCATCTTTCGAAAGTGGAAGGAAACTAAATTCTGGTCGCTTCCGGTTATATCTTGTTTTGAGGCCTGTCCTGAACCCCTCTCTTCCTCGCCTCAGCTTCTCAAACTAAAGAAACACAGGGGTTTGGGAAGAATTGGAGGGGGCTGGGTATGTCAAGGTTAGCCTAAAAGAACATCGCCCTTAAATAATTACAGATCTCTCTGAAACTTTCCACACCTTTAAAGTAAACGATGTAGGGGGATGAGGGCAATAGGAGATCTGGAGTCTGTTTCACAGTACCCTTCTCTGGACGCAACCCCAGAGGTTAAACAGAAAGATGGCTGGGCAGTTTTGTTTCCTGAATTGCTCAAGAAACAGGGAAAGAATGAGCTTAACCTAAGAGGATTAAGAAACACCACATTCCAGAAAATAACCATCTCTTCAGTACCCCACAATCCTGATAACTTCTGCCATGTTCAGGATGGTAATGGGAGAGTGACTAGGGGCTGTGGTAATCTGAATTGTCCAGATTAACCATAGTTTGTTGGTCAGAGATCAGTAAAGCTAAATGCTGGGAGAGGTCTGACCCGGCCGGCCTTGAATTGGGTTGGCTTGTTACTTAGGCCAGACCAATCTGTCTAAAGGGGCGAGGGGGTGCTGGTGTGGGTTTCCTGCATGTGTCTGGGAATGAACCACAGATAGCTCTCCAGGCAGACATTAGTGAACTGTGCCTAGCAAGTAGGGGTGAGCTCCAACACAGACCTTCATACTCACCAGTAGCTGGTCCCAAAGCAGAGTCATCAAAGGGAAAAGTCCAGGTTGTAACACAGAAATGCCTCTTCTCTGTTACTTAATTCTCATACCTAGCAGTCACCCACCAGCCACCTGCTTGTTCTGCCAAATAACCAGCATGGTAGATGGCCTAAGCTCTGGGAGGCACCTGGCATCCAGTCAGTGGTAGCCTGGAATGTCCAGTTCAGTTGATGGCTGAATTGGGATATCAGTTTCTCATCTTGTGGTGGTGCAAATCAGAGCATGCCTTAAGCATATGAATTATCAGGAGCACAGCAGCATGAAGTATGAAGCCCAGATAGTTATTTTTCAAAATGGATCAAGCTTTCTTGTAGGAGAGAACCACTTAGATAACTACAAGACGACCATAGTCCCAGACAGGGCTCAAGCCATGCAAAGACAATACGCATCTACAGCATCATGAGCTTGTCATAGAAGCATCAGAAGGAGGCCATGCACCTGGAACAGTAACACTACGCAGAAGAGCATGAAGGCCCAGAAGGAGACGAGCACAGGCACCTAAGCACAATCTGTTGAAGATTCGGAAAGTCCAGAGGACACAGTGATCCAGTATGAAGAGAAGGCAGAGAGAAGACTGCATGCTATTGGTCAAGCGTTAAGTCCAGGAGGAGATGGTAAGGAAACTTGTGCAGGAGCTTCTGAGGAGGGCAGAGATTAGCCGGACTGGAACCTGAAGGCCCTGGGGCTTTCCACGGGCTGCCTTGGTGGGCCTCGAATTCCTCGGCGGGCTCCGTCACCCATCAGGTAGTATTGGAGGGGATTGGACCACAGTTCTCCTTTGATAATCTCAGCAATCCTGTCGAATTCGAGGAGGCTATGATCGGAGAACCAGTTGAAGAAGCTGGGGATCGTGTTCCCTTCCCGGTTCCTGTGGATCTGAGCCTGGGGGTCTTGGCCTCGGTGCCAGCGGATCGGAGTGGACAGAGACACTACCCGGCCAGAGGATCTGCGCTCATACTCCTTGACCAGCCCCTCATTTCGGAAGTAGGGGTTGCTCTGAAAGATGAACTTGAATTTGCAGCCTGCTCTGGGATGTTTAAGCTCCTCCACTTCCAAATTAATCATGTACCTCATCATGTCTTCATCTTGGCCACTGATCATAGGCGACAGCTGCGGGTGGTTCCGAAAGGCAGTGACCCAGAACCCCGGGATATTTTGGATAATGAAGCTCCTGCGCTGCATATGAAGTCTTCGCATTCGGCCAAACTTGCGCTCCAGCTGAAGAAAGGCCCTGTCAGCCTGGGCATTGACGTTAGAGAGCTCCTGATCAATGGCCTCCAGCGAGTCCATGCAATTATTGATCTTCGGAGCCCTGGGCCGCGCCTCCTCTTTCACTCCTCCCACCACCTTCTTTTCCTTCGGTGCAGCTTTCTTCTCCATCCCCGCCTCAGCTTCTCCCTCCTTCTCTGCTGCCACAGTGATGGCGCACTTCTTAGTCGTCATCTCTTTGGCTTTGGCCCCAGAGATCACCAAAGACCCCAACCCCCCTGCGCCGCTGGCTTCTAGAGCCTTCTGCCCAGCTGGGCTGCGCGGCTCTCCAGGCTGACAGCCATTTTTCTGGCTGTTGTCTGCTGCCATGGAGGCACAGGCGGCTTCGGAGCCCTGCGTGGGGGACGTAGCATCTCCCTGTGCCGCTTTGCTCGCCGCACCGCCGTGGTTCGCAGCGATCGGGCTGAGCGCAGGACCGCAGTCCACGGCATCCCGGGGTGTACCTTCCTCTGCGGCGGTTTCCAGACCGACCCCACCTGCATCCGCCATGGCCGGTGTCTCTTCGGTCTCTGCACGGAGCCCCTGGCACTGGCTTAGGTCCGAATCTCCTGGGGCGTGCTCGGGAGCAGCGAGGCCGGGAGTCTCGGAGAGCGCGAGCTTGTTGCCGCCTTCGAGGCCGCTCATTTTGGGAGAAGGCAGACCAGCGGCAGAGGAGCGCTCCGTGTCCTCTGCAGCAGCAGCGCTCCGCCGGGATCTGCACCTAGCACCACCCCTTCTCCTCTGCTCGGCGCCTGCTGCCATGGCAACCGGGAACGTCAGGGCGGGGGCGTTCGCCGTCGCGCGAGAGCCGGAGCTCGCTGCGCCAGGGATGATGCTTGTCAATCAAGCATAATCCTTTGTCTTCTCCTTAGAAAATGTTAGGAATTCATTATTCCGAAAAAGAAATCTGACTGACGTAAGTGGATGTACTCGCATTCAAGCATCTGAGAAGGCTACTGTGGGTTTTATTAAAACCCCCAAGTGAAATGCTAAAGCACCTAACGTATTAAAATATTTATTAAAAATAAGGGTTAGTTATTGTCTGTTTAGATGGGTTCATAGTGCCTCTTCTGAACAGCGAAGCGGATTCACAACTCACGGCCCTTCTTTCTTCAAGGCACACATTCATGGCCATTACCAATGCACAAAGATGAGCAGAGTGACTTCTGAATTGAAGTGGGGCTGCGTTAAATGCTACGGATTTTCAACCTCTCAGCAGTGAAACGAGACAACAATAGATTATTTCGACCTCCTTACACATTTTAACCTTTATATATTTTGCTTATCGTCTACAAAGCAATTGAATAATATTTCCTCTGCACTTTTAACTGTGCCAATTCATATTAGGGCTAGGACTGGGAGCTGACTGGGCTAGGCTAGGCTGCAGCACCCACCGGTGAATGCCAAGGTGAGGTGGGCCATGTGAGACTGTGCCACAGTGCCACCAGCACACGTGAGACCCGGGGGGAGGGACCCAGTCCCAGAAGGAAGGCTACAAGGGCTCCTCTGCTGGGCCAGTGCTCCCACTGGCAAGTGTAAGAACTGGGATGGGGGCCAGACCAGGTTGGGAAGAGCTACAACAATTGTTGGCCTGCATATAAACTGGGTTGGGGGGAAATCCAGGCTGGGCGAAATGACCATATCCACTGGTGCATGCATCCATAAGTGAATGCCTGCATTAGCAAGAGTAAATACAGGCCCATTAGACTTCGCCACAGCATCAGTTGGCAAGTGCTGTGACTGGAGGCAAATACTGTCAAGCTAGACTGCAGAATCACCTGAAGAATGAAAGATCCAGGACTGGTAGTAGGTCCAGTAGGGAAAATGTGGGCACCTCTCTGATGGGTTGCAACGCCCACTGGTGAGCACGAGAACCCCGGGCTGGGGTAGGCCTGGCTAGACATGCGTTGGTACCCACTAGCATGAGTCTGGGCTGGATAGTTGGGTCAGTTTTGTTGAACATCCAATGATGTATACGGAAGCTGAATGGCATGTAGGACAGACTGAACCAGTCTGCTACACATACTGGCAAGCACAGGAACCAGGGCTGGGCAAGGGCCTACTAGTGAAGGTTACTGGGGGTCATTCTAACTATGCTACAGCTTCCGATGAAGTAAGTACCTGAAGGCCAAATCTGTGGTGGGTAGGGTGGGACTGGGCTGCAGCATCCATTGGTTTCTGTAAGAGTCAGGGCTGGAGACAGAACTGACCCAGCAATTGCAACTACCAGTGTGTGTGTTCTAGAAACGCTAAAAATTTCCCTCAATTCTAATACACTTTTTTTTCATATTTTAACAACCTTATAATAACTAGTCTGTAATGAGATCTTACAATTGCTATCAGCAGAACAAAGTCCCCAAGAGTATGTCTGCCACTAAGAATGAGTTCACTGGACTACTGTAACCTCTGGAAATGTCAATCAGCAAGCTCTTTAAGTGCCATTTGAGGAAGGGAAATACAATTTACTTGTTCTCTGAAAAGCTTTGACATTTTCAACCACAATCAAAAAAGTACCAGCATCAAACCTTGCACAATAGGTACTAAGTATCTTTAGAAAAAAAGGTCTTAAAGGAAAACTCTTCTAGGGCTAGGTCACTCCAGTAAGAAATGTTATCATCACCGGAATAATTCAAGACCCACTGGACAATAATGTATGAGACAAGGACAGCAAGAATTGCATCTAATTACCTGAAATAAGAAAATATTCAGACAAGACACGCTAGTTCAACTTGCCATTTACCCATGAAATGATATATGACAAAAATATTTTTGAAGTTGAAAAGTTCCATAAGCATAAAGTAAAAAAAAAATGCTAAAGATTTATTTATTTTTATTAGAAAGGCAGATATACAGAGAGAAGGAGATACAGAGAGAAAGATCTTCCATCTGCTGGTTCACTCCCTAAGCTGACTGCAACAGTGTGGGAGCTGAGCTGATCCGAAGCCAGAAGCCTTTTCTGGGTGTCCCATATAGGTGCACGGTCCCAAGGCTTTGGGCCTTCCTCCACTGTTTTCCCAGACCACAAGCAGGGAGCTGGATGGGAAGTGGAAAATCTGGGATGCTCCAGGTGTTTATTCCAATTCCTTCCGGACACCCTGGGGCAGGATGTAGACAAAGGCTGTGTGACTTGAAGCCTGTGGCCTTTGATGGTGGCTACCAAGTTCTGCTTCCACCACTGAGCATTGGCACTAGGCTACTGCTCCAGCCCCTAAAGTAAAAATTCTAAGAATTAGGAAGTCTTGTGTCAGTTTGGTATTTTTTAATCCTAGGAAGGAAGCAAGATGATGACCCAAGTGTTTGGATCCTGGAGACCGGTTGCAGTTCTTGGTTTCTGGGTTTGGCCTGGTACGGCCCATCCTTGGCTACTGTGGCCATCCGGGGCGTGAACAAACAGAGGGAAAATCTCTGTCTCTGTCACTGTATCTTTTAAATAAATAAAACTTTAAAATATGCACACACACACATACACACACATTTTGGAATCAGATCAGACTTTAACTCTAGTTTTATTACTGAGCAGCTGTTTGATTTGGTAAATCACTTCATCTTTCTGAGCCACAACTTCCTAATATATAAAATGAATAATAGGGGGTGGTGCTGTGGCATAACCTGCTAATCCTCCACCTGCAGCACCACCAACCTATATGAGAGCCAGTTTGTGTCCCCTGTGCTCTACTTCCAATACAGCTCCCTGCTTATGGCCTACAAAAGCAGCAAAGCATAGCTCACTTGGCCCCTGCACCCACATAGGAGATGCAGAGAAAACTCCTGACTCGTGGCTTCAGATCAGCTCAGCTTGGGTTTTGGCGAGTGAACCAGAGGATAGAAAATCTATTTCCTTTTCCTCTGTCTCTCGTTCTCTCTATAAATCTGCATTTCAAATAAAAATAAATGTAAATCTTTTAAAAATGTACTAAATTTTGCAGTGTGATGAAAGTGATATGTCTGTGAAGTGTTTGTCATAATTGCCTGTGATAAACATAATTTGATCGTTTTTAAAGAAATTGTTTATTTGAAAGGCAGGGCCTTTCAATAAACAGGGCCTGGCGGCGTGGCCTAGTGGCTAAAGTCCTCTCCTTGAATGCCCCGGGATCCCATATGGGCGCCGGTTCTAATCCTGGCAGCTCCACTTCCCAACCAGCTCCCTGCTTGTGACCTGGGAAAGCAGTGGAGGACGGCCCAAAGCCTTGGGACCCTGCACCTGCGTGGGATAACCAGAAAAAGTTCCTGGCTCCTAGCTTCGGATTGGCTTAGCTCCAGCCATTGTAGTCACTTGGGGATTGAACCATCGGACTGAAGATCTTCCTCTCTGTCTCTCTTCTCCTCTGTATATCTGACTTTCCAATCAATAAATAAATCTTTAAAAAAAAAAAAAAGAAGAAGAAGAAGAAGAAAGGCAGTAACAAAAAGGAGAGAAAATGAAAGAGAGAGGAGAGACAGGATGATCTCCCATGCACAGGTTCACTCTCCACGTGGGCTCAATGCCCAGGATAAGGCCAGACCAGCGTCAATGACCCAGAACTACATGCAGGTCTCACACGGTTGGAGGGACTGTCATCTACTGCTTTCCCAGGAGTGTTAGCAGGGAGCCGAATCAGAAGTGGAGCAGCTGGGATTCAAATCAAATTGTATGCAGTGATTAAATCCACTGTGCTGTGTGTGACATTGACCCTGATTTGGCCATTTTTATTATGTTTATGCCAAGATTTATCTACACTAAATAGACTATATTGGAGGCAGTGTAACATCAATGTAAAACTATTTTATGCAACTAGATATATGTAAGTTCAAAAAGAAGACATCTGTGTAGGATAAACTGTAACTGAAAACTTTGTGAAAAAAATTAAGAGTCGAAATGAAAGTAGGATAAAATTTGAATAATCAGAAAAGCCATAAAACATTAGGATAAAGTAATAATACATGTACATATATTACAGTTAATTTTAAATGGTTGTAGACATGCTCTTTCTAGTTGACAGGAAGAAAATAACTATTCTGCAAACAGAAGTATTTTGCTTTCTTCTATGAAATACTCCTTTGGAGGCTGGCACTGTGGTATAGTAAGCTAAGCCTCCACCTATGGTGCCAGCATCCTATATGGGTGCCAGGTCATGTCCTGGCTGCTCCCCCTCTGATCTAGTTCCTTGCTTGTGACCTGGGAAAGCAGCAGCAGATGTCTCAAGCCATTGGGTCCCTGCACCCATGTGGAAACTGCTGGCTTCAGTCTGGCCCAGCTTCAGCCATTACAACCGTTTGGGAAGTTAACCAGCAAATGAAAGACCTCTCTTTGTGTCTCCTTACCTGTGTATCTCTGCCTTTCAAATGAAAATAAGATTTTAAAATTTTTAAAAATCACTTTAAGCATGCTATAAAATACCACAGAAATAAATTGACTGTGAGGGCCCAGTGGCGTGGCCTCACAGCAAAACTCCTCGCCTTGAATGCCCCGGGATCCCATATGAGTGCCGGTTCTAATCCCAGCAACTCCACTTCCCATCCACCTCCCTGCTTGTGGCCTGGGAAGGCAGTGAAGGACAGCCCAGAGCCCTGGGACTCTGCACCTGCGTGGGAGACTTGGAAAAAGTTCCTGGATCCTGGCTCTGGATCGGCATAGCAGCAGCTGTTGCACTCACTTGGGGAGTGAATCATTGG